AAATATTAAGTATAAAAATTTCTTGATGTATGTTAAAAACAAGATTGGTGAATATGTTAAGAGCAGTAGCATTTAAGATACAATTAAGTAAATTAGAGATTAAGTAATAAATTGTTTGAGTAGAAGGACAAAAAGTCTAGTATAATAAAAAGCTAGTTTAATTATATTGGTGACAGAAAAAAGAGTAAAAGGAGTTACATTTGTGAAAAATATAAAGAACTGATATTTCATCCAAGAGAATTTTAATATAGAAAGTTTTTAGAATAAAAAAATAAAAGCTATGAGCAAAGTTAGAAATCTTTTAATTATTATTGATGTAAAGTCAAGTAGCTTCCTAGTTAATATTAGAAGCAATAGTGGACTATTGTTAAAAATAATATTGGAATGTTCAAAGTGATATAATATAGGCTTAACAGATAGTATAAATAAAATGTCAAATAGGATTTTAATAAGAAATTAGTCAATAAATAGAGTATAGTATTACAGGATTGTAGCCTTCTTGGTACAATACAACCAAGTAACAAGGTTACCTGGTACAGTAATTGACTATTGCAAATATATACAGGATGGAGGTGTAGTAGTTTACTTTACTACACAGCAGCAGGCAAATGGTTCAAGATAGTAACAGTATATAGATTAACTTTTATTAAATAAATACACAGTGACAATCTTGCCTGTAGAAATTACCTTAAAGAGGGAATATCACTTTTACAAGTTAAAGATAAAGGTAGAAGAATCTAAGTTGAAGTATAGGAACTTAGAATTGGCAGAGAAGAGTAAAAGCTACACTTTTTATATCTTTTTATCTAGCAAGGATAGTGGAAATTTGAGCAACATTATTTGATACTATACTTAAAGTAATAGGGGTTCAAACAACATTAGATATCATTGTACTTGAGATAATGGAGGTTCAAACAACATTAAATGATACTATGCTTGAAGTAGTAAAAACTGTGCAGAGGCAACTAGAAATATTGTTTATATCATTTGTTATTTGTGCTTAAAACACTTGAAGCTTGTGTTTAGGCACTTGGATCCATGCAAAGGCACTTAAGATTTGTGCAGAGATACTTAGGATTCATGCAGAAACACTTGAAGTTCATATCAGTAATACTTGGGATTCTTGTGCTATAGCACTTGGCACAGTAATTTGGTGCTAGGATACATAAAACTTGTACAAGGGTACTTGGGGTTTGTAAGATGATAGTAACATCACAGATGTTACTCAGTGTCATGTGGCTGTACCACATTTCTAATAGCCAATTAAGATCCTTTTATCTATCTATTATATAATATAACTATCGACTAACTAATGACTAATAACTAATAATAAATATAAAATATAAATACAATAATAAATATATATATATGACTATTAATAATATACTATGCTAAAATCTACTTTGTAACAATACAGTTGCAAAAAAAAGGTTATTATCTTTTTAATTTCCTTTTCTACTTTTCTATATCTATGATTATCATACTAGTTCATAGAGGAATTCTAGCTTTTCCACTAGATCGCTTGAAGTTTTTCTTTTTCCTAGTTTGACTTCTTGAATGCCTAGGTTAAAGCAAAAAAGGATTATAGCTCAATATTTAATATTGTACAGCTAGCCCTTTTTATTTTTTTCATATACACTTCCCTCTTGTTTCCTCTATTATGATGATAAATATTTATTTTTTTGTTATTAATTACTTTTTATCAAAAAATATTTATAAAATTTTTTTTTTTTTTTTTGAAGCAAACCACAAAAATATCCTTAGAAAAATATGGATTTAAACTAATTTAGTTCTCTGCTATCTTTTTTTCTATCTCTGACAATTTTGGTACCACATACCAAGATTTGTTGACCCATCTTGGCTCCCTCCAGAATACAATGACAGCTGTACAAAGCTCTTTGGTTCAGCTAGAGAAAAAGACAAAAGAATACATCAGTGGCTCTGGCTGTCCTAGTTGTATTTGCCTTAAGACCAAACTAAATGAATCCTATGTAAAGTTGAAGAAAAGACAATCTCAGAAGGAGATGCAACAGAAAATCAATAACTTGAAGAAGCAGATTAGGGAGTTGAAGTGAGAAAATCTTCATTTGAAATTTTTAAATAATAATAATAATATTTTTTTTTTTTTAAATCTTTGACAGCCTTGCCAATCACCTTTATTAAGAGTCTTATATACATAATTTGTACAAAGTTGGCTTAAATTCTGGCTTGACATCCCATAGCTGCTTTTATAAATACCCAGGAGTGGTCTGCTACACTGGTCAGATGGTGGTCTAGCCAGAGGGCTATATCAAGCTAGCCATTAGAACTATAAAAAAATAGTTTTATTTTTCTTTCTATATAATCCCTAACTGAACTGAACTAAGAACTTTGTATTTTTTCTTCTTTTTCTTTTTTCTTTTCTTTTATAACTCAGCCTTGGTCCTTCTCTAAAACTCTATAATTCACATCTTTTATCCCATTTCTTACTATATTACTTCTTGGATTGTTATCTTTTTTTTTTTTGTCTGCAGAGCTAATTCTATTTGTCTTTTCTCATTTAATAACTAGTTCACAGCATTTTTTCCATATATTTTTAAAAAAACTATTTTATGCTATATTTGTTTATATTGTTATAAACTCTTTAGCTTTTTTAAAAGTTTGGGTAAGGCTTTATATTGTTATTTTGGTTTCTTTTTGGACTAGCCCTTTCATGCTTTTGGATCTACATTCTTTTTTACCTTCTGCTGAATCTCTTCATAAGATTTTTGTTAGTTTTAATTTGCTTGTTTTCTTCTGAGTTTCTTCTGAGAGCACTGTTCAAGCCAAATTAATAGCTAAGTTTTCTATAATGGCCCAACTATTTTCATGACCTTTACATATAGCTAAGTGTTTTTGGTCTTCTTCTTAGTCTTCATTACAAAGAATGCAATATGGCACTTTGTATATGTTAGGACATCTTTTTGCTAGAGTTTTCAGTACTGATAGTTTTCTGTTAACACATTTAATTAGAGTTGCGATTTTTCTATTTTTTTTCATACTCGACATCTTCTCTACTATGATTTTTAACTTTTTTCTATAATAGTAACCAGTCATGTTCTTTTTTTTCTTCATTTGGTTCTAATTTTTGAACAATTGATGTAAATCACTATTCTGAGCCAATCTTAAAATCTAAGATATCTTTAACAAATTGTCTTGTTGGCCCTTCTACAATTGTTTCTTTTTAGCAAAGTGATATGTTTGAATTAGGTGGTGGCATTACTATAATCTTATCTCTATTTTCTATACTACTTCCTTCTTTTGCTATTTTATCTACTCTAGTATTCTATTTGTTATTACTATGTCTCTTCACTTTAACTAATTCTAATTTTATCTTCTTTACTTTGAGTAGCTTTATTATACTTTTTTTCAAGTCATAGTTCTTTTCTTTGATCCATTGTCTGCTTTTTTTTAACTTTTTTCCTCTTTTAAAACCTAATATTGCTGCAGCACTATCTGTATAGATCTTAATTCTTTTTTTTTCAGTATTATTAGAATTACTAACCAAATTGCAAGTAGTTCTGATTTTGGTGATGAGGGCCAATTTTGGATACCTATAGCACCTTTATTGATTACTTTTTCTTCTTCTGTATTTACTTGTATTCAACCTGCTTCTATGTAATCGATATTTGAAGCATTGTTTGTTGCTGCTTTCTTGAACAAATCATCAGTATAGAAGATAAGTTTATTATCTGTATTTAATTAGTTTTTTTAGTTTTTGGAGATAAGAAGTTCTTTTATCTCTTTGCTTAGCTGTTGTTTTTTGATCAATTCTATGTTTAAATTATAATATATTATATCTTTGAGCTGTGCTTCTGATTTATCTATTTTAGTTCCGTTTTCTTGTTGCTGGCTGTATATTATTTATTTGTCTATTATAAGTTGTGGGTCTTCATCTTTTCTAATAAATCTTAATAGCAAACCTTAAACTTCTCCTCTATAACTCTATTTTTTACAACTTTTAAGTTCACCTATATGATCAAGACTACATTCTTCACATTTTTTAAGAACTTGGTTCATTTTGTTTTCAACCAATTTGATCTTCTAATATTCTGTAAGTACTTTTTTTGGTGTATTCATAACTACTTTCCTTATTAACAAGTTATTGGTTTCTTTTTCTTTTGATGGTTTTAACACTATCTATTCTCTTTTTCTGTTGTCCCTTGAGCAACTATCAAGTGGTGTTTGAAGTGCTTTTCTGTTTTCACTTAGTAATACATATTCAGGCTTTAATTGTCTGTTATTTTTGTCTTCTAATATTGTTTCTTCGATTTTCTTAAACTAGCTAGCTGTTCTACCTTTGCTTGATTTCTTTCTTAATAATTTAAGTTGATACCAAGAGATTATTTTGTCTTCTGCTTTGTTAATAAGCTGATTTATTGAAGTTAAATTAAGTTTTTTTAGTGCTAGAGCTGTCTGAAGAGTAAGTTTATTTTCTAGTACTTCTGCAATTCTTAATTCTTCATTTTTCTTCTCAATGTTTATATTGTTGAAATAGAATGACATTTGCAAGTCCTTTGCTTTTAACATTGTTTGACATGCTAGATTATTTTTCCATAAATTGCTATATACTTTTAGTGTGATTTTATGCCAATTTTTCTCCATTGTGCCTACAAGTAGAAGGTTTTGATTTACTTTAATTTTTGTAAGTATCTCTTTTGGCCTAGTTGAATTAAGTCTTGCATGTAAACCTGTAATTTGTTTTGCTACTATTGATTCCATAGTGCATTGCAGTTGCCCATATTTTTGTATATGATTATGGATCTAAAGTATAAAAAGGATTTTAATAGTTAATAAAAATCTTTCTATTTTACCAAATATTAAAAAATTTGTTAAAAGTACTTTTAATATGTTTTCTTTTAAAATTGTAATAAATCATAACTATTTCTAGTATTTCTTGTAAATTTTTATTTACCATCAACTTGCAAAAAATTAATTTGCCCATCTTATAAATTCAATTATCTGTCTTATCAAAGTAAACTATGCTTCTATTACCCTCTGCAATATACAATAATGCTGATGAACTCTTTCAAGAAGCACAAAGGTTAGCAATTTCTCAAGGTTATATACTGGTTAAAAAAAGAACTCAAAAAGATAATAGTGATGAATTAAAGAATATGACATTAAGATGTGATCATGATGGTGTTTATTATAACTCTTTGGATGGAACAAATCATAGACAAAGAACCACCCAGCTTATTGATTGCCTTTTTGAGTTGTATGCTGCTAGACATAATGAATTATGGCACCTAGAAATTCACAATGCAACTCATAATCATGATCACTCAAATAATATAACAGGGCATCCTATTGTTTGTCAGCTCACAGAACAATAAATAGCAAGTATTTCAACCATGACCATCATCAGTTTATATCCTTGAGAAATCATATCAACTTTTTACCAAAACCATTCTGAAATACTAGTTACTAATATTGATATTTATAATACATATGCATGGCTTCAACTAGAAAATCTAGCAGATTATACTTCAATTTGGGCTTTAGTAGATGAGCTTCAAAAGGGTAATTTTTTATATGAGTATGAATGTAATAATACTGGTTCTGTTACTTATTTTTTTTTGCATATAATGAATCTGTTTCTCTTATCTATCGATATTTCACTGTAATTCAAATGGATTGTATCTACAAAACCAACAGATTTAAAATGCCATTATTAAATATAGTAGGTATAACCAGCTTCAACACTATCTTTTATTCTTGTTTTGTTTTTATGAAAGGTAAAGGTAAAGAGGATTACAGGTAGGCTTTAACACATATTATGCATTTGTTTAATGAAGTGCAAAAACCTGATGTTATTGTGACTAATAGAGAACTTGCTTTTATGAATGCTCTTGGTACAATCTTTCCTGATTCAAAAAATTTGCTTTGTGTGTGGCATATTAGTAAAAATATTTTAAAAAATTGCAAGCTACAGTTCTCACAAGAAATAGGAGTTAAAGAAAATAGTAAATAGGAAGATTTTCTTGCTAAATAAAATAATATTGTTCAATCAGAAACAGAAACAGAATTTGATATAAAGTGAAATAATTTTCATTCTACTTATATTAGTAAACCTAAAGTTATTTCATATATTAAGGAAACTTGAATACTATGGAAAGATAAGTTTGTATAGAGTTGGAATCTTTTGAATATTTATCATAACTATTTAATAAATATTCATGAATTTTGAATGAATATTTAGATTTTATATAGAGAAATTCTATTTTTACTTGGATTAAAGTTACCCGAAATATTACTAATACAGTACTATAATTTAGTTACATAAATAACATTATAGTTTATCAGATAACTTCAACCTGGGTGAAAATAAAATTTCTTTTAATTCAAATAAATATTGATAGATTTGTGAAACTTAAATATTTATTAAATATTAATACTTGAATTTTCATTTTTAATCATAAATATTCACAAATCCTATCTTTAAGTTTGTAAAAGCATAGACAGATACATTATTTCACCTGAGAACTACTTCAATTTCCCAAATTGAGGGTGCATATGCAACTCTCAAAACATATTTGCAAACATCTGTGAGGGACCTTCACCAAGTTTATATGACAATATTACTTGCAGTAGCCAACCAAAAAAAGGAGATTAAAGCTACAACTGAGTCAGAATGCATTCACTTTCTGGCTTTTGCTATTAATAATATTTTGTATGAGAACATCAGAGGTAAACTTTCAATCTATATATTAAAAAAAATAAATGAACAATATCAAAAGATAAAACATGCTATTGCACAAAAACCTTTGCTACTATGTAGTGGATCTTTCTTAAGAACAATAAAGTTGTCTTGCGCTTATACTATTCAACACTTCAAAGAGAATTAAAGCCTAATGCTTGATGATATCTATAAACATTGGTGGATTTCTGAAAACTTACTAGCTTCTCTAATAAAAAAAAATACTTCTCATTCTGAGAACTCATTGCAACCTTTTTTATAAGACTTATAGTAAAGATATCAAGAATGGTCAGCATTTCAGCAGTCAGCAATACAAGAAATATTAAAGAACATAATCGATACCCAATCAATAACTTTACGAAATCCCAATATAATACACACCAAAAAACATTCTTCTGGTGCTTCTAATCACTAACAGACCAACTCAACTAGGAAAGATCCCTCTGGTTTTAAGTTAGTAGATCATAAAATAAAGCATTGTACTCTTTGTTAGCAACCTAAACACAATGCTCATATCTGGCTTAGTAGAAATAACTCTTTATAAAATTTAATTAATTTCTTTAATATGTGTTAACAATATTTAACGTTTATTGTTTTTTTATCTGTAATTTTTTTTCTTGAATGTAAATGCAAGCAAAAAAAATAAAATAAAATAAATAAACTTATATGACTTACATAATTAAATTTATTTATGATAACAAATTGATATATAAAACAATTAAAGGTATAGGTCCCATAGCTTAATTGTTAAGCTCCCATACTTCTACAGTCAAGGTCAACAGTTCAAGTTCAGCTGAAGGCAAAAATCAAAAAGATTTTAGCCTCTGTAACCTATAAAGAGCCTGTAATTGAACATGAAGCCCTGTGGTTAAGTCCAAGTGCAGTATATGACAGAAAAAGAAATTTCTAGAAGAAGACTGACTTTGCAAAATGCAGACACTACAGGTGACAGTAGTGTTACAAAAGGTTTTGTTACATGAAATATTGTGCATATAAGTCCTCTGAAGATGAGGCAGTACTAACATCTTCATATCCAATTTGAGAAGTAATTAATTAGGAGAGTAATACCAAGGTAATACATACTGGAGTAGTGAGAGAAGCGGTGCATGCATAGAAGGTCTGTGACAAAGAATTAGCTTTATCAAGATTAAAAGCACCTCTGGCACTGTGGAATGACTGAAAATAGAAGGTAGCTATATGTATATAGAAGTTGTAGCCTGTCCTATATGTCTAAAGGTATCAAACTGGAGCTTTGGTCACACCTATATAGAAGCCTATGGTGAAACAAATAGAACATACTAACATAAATGCTATACTAATCAAAGGTGAGATACTTAAATTAGAAGTGACCTTTGTAAACAAGCACAGAGCATCTGTGAAAATGCAAATTTATACAGATATCTGTGTAAGTCAGTGTACACAGAAGGATGCAAACTGGCTTTGGGTGATGCAAATACAAGATAAGTTCTCATGTGTTTAAGTAAAAAGAAAACATTGGCCAATAGCTAGAAGAAAATAGAAATACCATTTCTGAAACATAGTTCTACTATATTATAAAAAGGAGTATTTAAGGGGCAAGTTAAATGCACAATCTATTTGAATAATGCTAAGACCAAGAAAGGTTATAAACCAGCAGTGGTAGCAGAAACCTGGCTTGAGATACATACTACCAGTACCTAAATTAGGAAAATAGCAGTAGCAGCAGGAATCTGGCTTAAGATACATGCTAGAGAAGCACTCTTCAGGCAAACCAAAGATGGGAGCTCAAAAGAAGCAAACAACCTGATAGACCAATTTGGGAGTTGTAAAAAATAGGTTGTGAGACATAGAAAGAATATGCAAGTTATCTAATATAATCAGTAGTGAAACAAAAATCCAGGTTAGGTGTAAGTGGAATACAATACAAAGCTCTGGTAAGTTTAGGTCACAGATAAAGATGTCTGAGTCCTATGTCTAAATAGATATATAGTGATAGATGATGTATGATAAAAATTGTACTAGCTATAACCAATATACTAATAAAGACTTAAAGGCATGACCTTATCTTAACAATAAAAAAAAAAAAAAAAAACATAAAACAATCAATAGTAGTTTTAAGCATTTTCAAATTATCAGCATTTGTCAAAATATGTGTTATATGCTTAGTTGTATCAATACTTTTTTCTATTAGTAAGAATTATAAAATGTGTAGCAAGACCTTATTCAAGTTAGTGATGTTATTTAAACATCTAATCGTATAATTATTAACCAATCATATGCAAGATGAAAAATATCATTTCACTATCATTTATCTTTCCTAGTATTACTATCAAAATTTTCATTTTCATGTGACCACATTTAAAAATCTTTAAATTTATTTAAGTTAGGGTTAGTGTTTATAATAGAGCTAGGTTTTAGAAAAGTAATAGTAAAATTACTTGAGGAATTTTCTTTATTAGAGCTCAAAAGGTGGTTTCTTATGCTAGTTTTTGAGGAATAAACAATTTTTGAAAAGTAAAAATTTTGTTTTGATCTTTCTAATCATGTAACATTACATTAAAATAAAACATACTATTGGATAATCATCACATAAAAGTAAAAATTTGATGAGTAGTTACTATTATTTTATGTGATCATGTAATTACTAGAAATTTCTGTAATAGGAGTATAAATATCAAATGTGAAGGATATAAAAATTGGTCTCCTATATTTATTTACAAATGAGCAATATATTAACTTTATTTTATTTTCTTATATTATTAAAAAAGTTTATTTATTTTGTTAAATAAAGGTTTTTAAATATTTTTATTTTATTTTTCATTTTTAAACTTTTGAAATACAATTAATTTTAGAATGCACTACCTATTTGTTAACTTTGGAACCCCTAATTTTAAAAATATAAATGCATTAAAAGACTTTTGTCACTTGTAAAAATTATATATATTAAATCCTAAATGATATAAAATATCCTAAGACTTTAATGAAAAAAAAATTTAATTAATATCTATATAAGTTACAATTAGAAATAGAATTTTAGTTAAAACATATTATTTAAAGCTTTATAGTTTTATATAAATTTTAATTTACAAATTGATTAGCATCTTTGTATATATCAGGTTTTAAACTATTTTTGTAAATAATAAACATTACATTAATCATACTAAAACTAATAATTTATTAAATTGGCAAAATAACTATTTAGTTAATTTTTTATAAAGTGCTTCAGAAATAATAATAACAGCTATAAAAATAATTTTTGTTATATACATTATGATTTGTTATATTAAGATTTATTATATTAAGTTTTATTAAATTAAGGTTTGTTATATTAAAGTTTATTATAGCAAGGTTATTTTGTAGTTAATTAGTTAATATTTAAAAAGGTTAGTTGATAACTAATTAATTTTTTTTAATTTAATTTGTAATACTACCTTTAGATTAATCTATTTATAATTATTACATGATTACCAAAAGCATAAAGAATATCTTTGAGTTTTAAAAAATTATTCTGATATACCTTATTATACTAATACATTTCTTGATAAAGAAATTATTAAGGTTATTAATGATATAGATCCTAAAAAAAATAGCTGTAATCATATCTGATAATGCAGCAAATATCTGTATGGTATAAAGAATATTTTGCAAAATATCCTTATATTTTGGATATTAAATACATGACATATTGTATTAATTTAATTACAAAAAATTTGTGCAAACATATATTTGTAACAAGTGCAATTTAGAAAATTGGCATAATTTATAAATATTTTATAAAATCACATGCTATATGCTAATTTTTAAAAAATAATATTAAAATTTTAAATATTAAGAGTAGTAATTTAAAGGATTATACAAAAATATATTGGTTTACAATATAAAATTGTGTTAATTTAATTGTATGACTTGAATTTGCTTTTATGAGTATAAAATTTTTTTATTTTATTTATATTGTAATATTAAACAATTAACTTTAATTTGATATAATTTGCTTGCAAAACTGTTTAAAAAAATAGTCTAAAACCAGATAGTTTTAAAATTAACTACTAATTAATTTGTAAATTAAAAGTCATATGCATATATAA